CAGATAAACAGACGAAATTGGATACTACCCTAAGAATTAGAAGTTGTTACAAAAGCATACGAGAAAACTTAAGTTTAAAGAAGTCTAGAAAAACTATAAAAGATTTTAGGACTCGTCTATCAAATGCAGAATAAATGAGTAATCAAGTAGCATTTGAGAAGATCACCAAAAAGATGACATTTGCAGCGAAGGTTTTGTTATAGCTGTTTAGAATCATTTATTGTAAAAATATGTTTTCATATTTTGTATTGTCAAAACTGTTTATGAATCTTTTATTGTAAAAAATATTATTTTTATGCTTAGTTTTGTTATAGCTGTTTAGAATCATGTATTGTAAAAAAATATTATTTTTGTAGTTTGTTTTGTTATAGCTGTTAAGAATCGTATCTCATAAAAAATATTTTCATAGTTTGTATTGTGAAAGCTGTTAAGAATAACTTATTATAGATATATTGGTTTCATAATTTGTATTGTCTAAGCTGTTAAGAATCATTTATTGTAAAAATGTTAGTTTGTGTGTGGCGCAGTAAGAATATCCACCAGTCCATATCATGCCGTGGGTGTCTTAAAAGGTGACAGAGGGAAACAAATCAGACGATGGACAGCAGTTCCTTGCTAATAACGACTAAATTTAAAAGCTGCGCTTGGCAAGCCGCTTGCCAAGCATTGCAACTATGGTAAATATCTCTCCTATGAGGCGATTGTCGAAGCTGTGTTCTGATGAATCACTTATTTAATTAAATAAATATTATTTCATATTTTCTATTGTCAAATCTGTTATGAATAACAAGGGGCCAAGCCCTCTTTTTATCTTTTCGCCAGTTATTTTGCTGTGGACTACGGTCGTCTAGTCCCAACCTCTAGTTCCTCTTCGGGCGGAACGCGTTGGTTGGTTGGCGCTCACTGCACACAGCGTTGCCGTGTGTGAAGCCGTGTGCCTCCCCCACATTTTTTTAAAATGTGAGTGAGCGAAGTCCTTGTATCGGGTATTTTAATATAAATATTGTAAGCCTTTTCCAAGCGGGTAGGTATTAATTAATAATGAATAACGGCCTATATCTAGACCTTTAGAAAGATCAATATATTGATTATCTGATCACGTATATTATTCATTTTAATATAGTTATATTTTATAAACGGCCATTTTATATATACAATAGAGGGGGCAGGGTTATTATAAAAATATTTCTTATTTTGTACTATCAAAGTTGTATTTATGAATCATTTATTGTAAAAATGTTATTTCATATGTTTTCTTGTAAAAATTTATTGTTAGAGACATTAGTTATTTTTTTTATAGGAGAGGGGGCAAACGAGCATGCGGCTCACCTGATGGTAAGTGACTACCGCCGCCCATGAACAATCGCAACACCAGGGGAATCGCAGATGCGTTGCCAGCTTTTTAAAAAGGAGTAGGCTGTTTTCTTGAATGTCCCTAAGTCGTATCGGTTTGGAAAAATCGCTGGTGGTAATCGATTCCACAAGGAAGTTGTGCGAGGAAGAAAACATCTTCTAAATCGCACAGTAGTGGACCGCCAATCATCGGTGCGAAGAGCCGAGAGGGGCATCGACGGAAACCTAATATCCGTCCGGATGAGACGTCAGCAGAAGGTCCAACAGGAAAGGTGTATAATCCTCCACATCTGGAATCCGCGTAGGCAAAGTAACCAGTTGTGTCAGACCATATGCCAAGGCATTTAATATTTTTGCAGTTTAATATTTTGTTATATCAGAGCTGTGTTTATGAATTATTTATTGTAAAAAATATTATTTTCATATTTTGTTTGTGAAAATTTATTGAGTGGAGTGGAGATGCGATCTCTTCGTAAAATGTGCGGCGTTACCATGGCCGACCGAAAGCGAAACGAAGAGGTTCGCAATATGGCAGGTTTGAAAGATGACCTTATCACAAAAATTGATAAGGGCGTGCTTCGATGGTTTGGGCACGTTGATCGAATGATTGAAGACCGAATGGTGAAGAAAATATATAGCGCGAAAGTAAATATTAAAAGGTCGACACCTTTTAATATTTACTTTGGTAGACCGAGACTAACTTTCGAAGACCATGTGAGCAAATTGCTCGAAGAAGGGAGGGTCAAGAGTACTCGGATACCTAGACGTGCATGTATGAAGAAGATAATGAACCTGAAAGAAGCGAAAGAGGTATGTAAGGATCGTGACACTTGGCGATCTGTTCTCTCTGGCTACCCCGTCAGGGATTGTGCGTGAAGATAAGTAAGTAAGTAAAATTTATTGAAGACATTAGTTTAATATTTTGTTATAATAAAGCTGTGTTTACGAATCATTTATTGTAAAAAAATATTAGATTACCGTATAGTGATGGTCTCAGAATATCCACAACCCCATATTACCATCCCGTGGTTGTCATCGTAAGAGGTGACAGAGGGAAACACATCGGCAGGTGGACTGATCTTCCTAATAACTGCAGTTGCCATCCCACTTGCCAAGCGTGGTTACAGCTTTGGATTGATTCATAGCCGTTTAAGTTTACCGTTATGGTATTAGCTTAACATTTTGTAATGTTAAAGTTTGTTACGATTCATTTATTATAATAAACTCATTCAGTTATTAAAATAATAAAATTTACTATTTTTGTATAGACACTAGCTGTGTTATTAATCTATTAATGATATAAACATTAGAATAAAAATATTAGTTTTATGTGTTGTATTGTCAAAACTATGTTAAATCTATTTTCATTAAGTTCAAAAAATATAGAATAATGTACCAATTATTTGTGTTTAATTTCATTCATGATAAAAAATATCATATGGTTCCTATTTACAAATTATGAATCACACTTTATGTATTTGGATTAATTATTGACAACCGACTGTTAAATTAAACATTTGAAGCATTTAGTTATTATGCAGTTATCTTTAAAAAATGTTTCAAATGTTTAATTCACAGTTGGTTGTTGATAATTAATCCTAGTACATAAACGTAATGAATTACCATGAACAGAGGTGTAAATGTAGAGGTGCATGTGTTATACGCACGCACACATTCTCACAATATTGTGGCGAAACGACACCAGACGGCGGTAGTACTCCTCGGTTGACAGATTTCGCACGAGTGGGCTCTCTTTTCCTGTATAGGACAATTACTATACTCTTTGTCTTTGGTATTAGTGTTCTGTGACCGTGTACCAAAGAGAATATAATCACTACGTTTAAGAGGCGGGACTTCCATAGTAAAAATAATTGCATGAAATTACGCCAAGTTACTCTACCAACATCAAGATATGACATTTAGTTTTGAGAAACAGTGCTGACAACATTGACGAATTACAATAGTGCTGTAAATGTCTATCCTCGAATAATTTTATCGATATAAACTTTATCGATATATTGTTTATCGATATTTTTACATAAGAAAAGTTAGATCTCTATACTGAATTATTTATGAGAAATAAAAATTTTAACGTGTGGATTGAGTAAAAATGCGGATGAGGATAAGAAATCAATGTATTTTACACACAGCAATTTGTATTTATATCTCTACAATTAGGTACAAAAGTATGTATAAAGAAAATATAAAATAAAAAACGCACTTTTATACTAGTAATTAATTAATTAAAAAATAAATGACGACTCCGTAGCGCAGTGGCTAAGCGTTTGGCTGCGGCATTGCAGGACCGAGGCTTCCTTCCCGCACTGAACAATTGTTGCTATGCTGTAAAATAAATAGTCTGCGTTTGGATGCTTGTTTTCGACGTTAGTTTTTTTAAGGGTAAAAATATTAGGTTTTTAATACTGATTGGATTAAATTGCTTTTATGTATATCAAATACTATGTACAAATCGCTAGGCTTCTTCACAGAGGCACCTATGTACATACTAATCGCAGAGATCGTTTGTCGCTTTCAAAATAAGTGCTCATTATAGCTAATGTTTATTGATGAATAAAATAATGATTTAGTTATATAATCTAATTCTTGCCAAAATGTGACTTTAGAGGGATATTATCTTTTGCTACATGTAAATGAAACCTAATTAACATACACATAAATTGTGGAAGTTTAAAGTAAGTCCACTAAAGAAATAACAGTTCGTTTTAGTTGGGTTCATATGCAATGTTTGTCACAAATATGTCTTAACATGTGAATCTTTTCAATTGGTGCATGTGCCAGCTATTTCACCCATTGCTTGCATCTGAAAAAATAATATAAATAAAATCACATTATTATTGAACAAATAGAATGTTAGCAGTCAGAATTGACTTGTAGTTTCTAAGTATAGCATAGATAAATATATATGTAGCAAGAGTATAGTTCGTTTCGGATTGCCAAACCATCGCACTATCAGATTTAGGAAATAGTGTGTTTGTATTTGTGCACACAATCGTACACTATTAAAACATGTACTACATAGATGGCTAGTCCAAAAATATACTCGCGTTGAATATCATACTTATTACTATTAAAGTTGAAATCACCACATACCTTTCATCATCTAAGGGAAATATTGTTACGAATAGCCTTTTTTTGTTATCATTTTTTCCGCTTCTTGCACCATTTAATTGGAAAGTTTTATAATGCATATTTAATTTCTTAACAATTCTGTAAATGAGCAACGGCTCCTATAGCAAAATTAAAAGCAATCTTAATTAATAAAATATATACAAATATAATTGTTTGATTTGACATTTGAACCTATTTCATTTGACAATGTCGTTAATAGACATAATATCACGAAAAGCATAAATAAGAGTAACCGTCATTAAAATTTGACCCCTGTAGTACATATAATTTTTACTATTGAAGTTGCACCAGCCTGCCGTGTACTACTGATACTGAGGCACAGGCCTAAGGGTATTAGTGTTCTCTGTATATATTTATCTATGGTGTTCTGTGTAGTGTGTACTGAGCAAGTGATTATATTCTCTTTGGTACTGAGTAGTGTTTCTACATAGCATAGATAAGAGTGTATAGCTACATAGTTTGTGGTACTGAGGCCTGAGGACTAAGAAGGGAACGCTATGGCTGAAGAATACTTAAAAAATATGTAGGATTGCTTATTCTTCGTCAAAATATTTTGTTACTCACGCTTTTCTGGATTTGGCATTTGATTTTCTATCAAACCTAAGCACTCATTAACTAGACGAAGAAATTGCAAAAGTGGCATGTGATAATATTGTGTAAATTATAATAGCCCTATGAATTCAAAATCAGTATAATAAATTGTTATATTTTCTTCGTAATATTCACAATTATACATATATCTGCATATACCTATCTGCCATTTTATTACAGAACTCTAAATATTCCATTTGCATCTGTAAAACAAGCGAGTGTTGCTTATGACATACTTATTGTGGATAAGGAACTACAAGGAAGCAGAATTAGAAGAGAAATCCTTCTAAATAATACTGAGCTTATAATGTCAGTATTTTATTTATACTATGTAAATTTTATTATTTGATCTTAAATAATATACTAACTCATTGTTACAGAAGCTTTGAAGGGACAGATACAAAGAGAATAAGGGTGGCTGTAAATGCAATTTTAAAAAATCTATTGTTGATTACAAAAACTCTGACTGAATTTGCACTAAGTTAAAAAGCTTGATTAAACATGACAGAACACAGCCCAGCCCCCACCCCAGCAAGGTCATTGTACGGCTTTTTTATGTATTTATTTAGTAAGATTGCTCTTACTATATACTGCATTTGGGCTACTGTCCCCGATCACTATTTACATTACTTAAATATTTATTATTATCCACAGAAATATTGGTCTACTGCTGTCCCTATACAATTTTTAGTAGGATTGACAATTTTTGCATTTTTTATATATCCAAGTTCCAATTTAATGCTGACAAGCACTATTGACAGTTGTAACACTATTGCTGGTCCACTAAGTCCTAACAACTTGAAAACAAATGTTAAACATATATCAGGAACTGCTTCCTGTGTTTGTGTTGATGAACGCTATTGTATGAAGTTTTCTCACCCTTCCATCATCAAAAGAAATACTGTTGCCCCATTACAAGATTTGAACATTCAATTTGTTTGTAGAAAATTGTACTTGAATAGAGGTGTTTAGATAATTATTCTATTCAGTGAGAGTTTTTGCATTGAGATACATGTTAGTAGTAAAATGTGATAAAATTACATTTATACATAAACATTCACGTTTGTCATCTAGAGGGGTAGGCAGAGTATAAAGCCACGTCTCCACCATAGTTTTGCTTCCAACACAACAGTTGCCAACACGTGTTGCCAACAAATGTTTCTGTAATCACCTAGTGTTAGCAACAAAACTTGAAACAATGTCGGGAATCGTGTTTTGGCAATATCAATCGAATTCCTTTAATGTTGCCGCCGAAAATGGAAACAACGAAACAAAACTTTGGTGGAGACGTGGCTTAATATGTACTTCCATTTAGTAAGATCTTTAATGTACCACTCTCACCTCTTTTACATTAATATTTCTATGTATACATTCTTGTTAGTTAACACTTAATAGGGCAGAAGTAAAAAATATTAAAAAACCAGGTTTTGTATTACTATTTATTTGTTTATTAGGACCCTTTTTAACATTATTCATAAAAATTAAAATAAAATCACAAGTATGCGAAATTTCAGTGGTAATCATTTTACCATTGCCCGTTTAGATTTGGGTGCAGGTGATACTATTTGACCTTAGCTCGTTAAGGTAGTACTAGAAGAAGTGCTGCTACAGTCCATTCCCTTTTCTTCTGGGGCAGTATGAAAGTTTATGAAGCATGGTGTGGCACATAAAGCTACTTTGCAGACATCATAAATGAACCTTGATAATTGTTGAGTATTGTTAAGGTAATTATTGGGCGGGGAAGGGAGAAGGGGGGAACCTCCCCCTAAAAGGGAGAAGTGCCGGAAACCCCCACCCCCTTTTTATGAATTTTAAAATTTTGGTACATATTATGGCAAAATCGCTTTTGCTTATTTATTAAGTCACATTCGAGTCCCGGTGGGAATCTGGGAGTTTTCAGGGTGGGAAAAAAACCGTGGGAATTAACACTATTTTGATTCTGCTTCTGCTCCAGCGGTGCGGTAAGTGCAGCCCCTTCGCCTTTGCGTAACTAAGCACAGGCAGCATATGAGCTGTAGTGACCAAACAGCCGAAGCTGCGCAGGTGAGCTTAGTTACAGCGGGCGAGGGCTGCTTTCCCTCCGCGTTTCAGGGTTTTTATATACACTAGGGTTAAGAGCGGAAAGACCATGTGGAAGTCGGGGTTGACACATTCGGCTTTGTGATTTATACCTTCTGGTACTAGGATTTGATCAAAAAAATCACCAAATATAATATTATAAAAACATTTATTTATAGACATGTTTAATAGCTTTAATTTATTCCATAAAATGATCCTTTTTGTTTCTTTGGACTGATCTTCTCCACAAATATTCTGTAATAATAATATCTGCAAAGTTTTCCGGGTGGTTATAATTGTATTTTTTAAAGAATCTTTTAACCACCCGCCATTGCAATTCGATCCTTTGAGTGTGAATGCCATCAGGGGCAACAAATGGGTTATCACGATTGGAATGGTTCACCTTCTTGTGAATGTACCCATGTTCCCCCAAACAATCATACGCCCTCCAGAAGTCTGTATGGACTGTGGTGTCTTCAGCCACATGTTTTTTAATTAGGGGCATTAGTACGTCCGCTGACCTGATATTTTCGGGGCACACCTCTAGTCCCAAATCTTCACTTCCATCGTCAATGTGGCCGAGAATCCAGTGGTCCTCAATCCGCCTTCCTATAAACAACAAAACAATTTATAGTTAGTAAATATTCAAGATATTTTAGCTCTAAAAGTAAACTTTAAAAAAATTTATTGTTTCAGTCTGTAATATAATAAAAAAATTACCTTTATTATATTTCCGTTTTCCAAATTTTGACTCGTCTATTTGGACAACTTTTCCTGGGCCACCAATCTTGCTGATGACCTCTTGCCGCTCAATTTGGTAAATGACGACAGTCGTACCAATCGTAGACAGTCACCGTAGATAAACAGCCTCCCTCCATATCTTTTTCAGGGTCTTCATGGAGTGCATCTTCATAGCTCCAGCGATGTGCATAACAGTTCATCAGACAGAATACCCGTGGCAATGATATTTTAAAATTTTCAAACCAGGTGCCCTTGCCAAGAGCTACCCTGGATCGGGCTCTGCAATTTCCTTTATTGCACACAAAGGAGCCCACATTATTTTGCCCATATTTTACTTTTATTGGCACTCCTTAGTGGCAGGGATTAATCAATTTTTAAGGGCAAACTGCACACACTGCTTTCTGGCACCGAGTTCTCGCACGATTCGGGGTAAATTAAACATTTTTGCTTCTTCCACGTATAAACGCCTGCGCACGTAATCTCCATAAAGCTCCGTGAAGGGTACTGCATCCGTTGCGGCGGCGTCGCTTGAACTATTTGACGGAGTGGGGTCGTCAGCCATCTTGGGTCTTCCAAGTAGACAGGCATGTAGGGAAAATCCAAAAAAACGTGCAGGGGTCGTCGTAGGCCAAATCGGTGGTCCGGTATTCGAGCGCGGGTCTTCGTCAAGGCAAATCACAGATCCAAGAAACAAGCAGAGGTCGAAAGTAGAGCAGGCGGTAATCGAGCAAGGGTCAAGAGTTGGGAGCATAAAATGAGCGCAAAACAATCGGACAAAAAAATTCTGACTTGCTGAAGGCGAAATTGGAATGGTGACAAAAAAAATAGTGTCTTTTTTCATGTTGGGCTTATCATTAATCTGATGTTGGGCTTCATGTAATGCCGCCTCCATACGCTTGGTGCTTGCCACATACACCATACACGAACAAACAGCGACCACATTCACCCAACACAAACACGGCATCTACACGCTTGGCGAACGTGCTAGTATATTCCGGATAGGCAAACATGACGGACGACGAGCTTGTGGCAGCGATTACTTTCGGGTTGACCTAAGGGAGAAGTGCCGGAAACCCCCACCCCCTTTTTATGAATTTTAAAATTTTGGTACATATTATGGCAAAATCGCTTTTGCTTATTTATTAAGTCACATTCGAGTCCCGGTGGGAATCTGGGAGTTTTCAGGGTGGGAAAAAAACCGTGGGAATTAACACTATTTTGATTCTGCTTCTGCTCCAGCGGTGCGGTAAGTGCAGCCCCTTCGCCTTTGCGTAACTAAGCACAGGCAGCATATGAGCTGTAGTGACCAAACAGCCGAAGCTGCGCAGGTGAGCTTAGTTACAGCGGGCGAGGGCTGCTTTCCCTCCGCGTTTCAGGGTTTTTATATACACTAGGGTTAAGAGCGGAAAGACCATGTGGAAGTCGGGGTTGACACATTCGGCTTTGTGATTTATACCTTCTGGTACTAGGATTTGATCAAAAAAATCACCAAATATAATATTATAAAAACATTTATTTATAGACATGTTTAATAGCTTTAATTTATTCCATAAAATGATCCTTTTTGTTTCTTTGGACTGATCTTCTCCACAAATATTCTGTAATAATAATATCTGCAAAGTTTTCCGGGTGGTTATAATTGTATTTTTTAAAGAATCTTTTAACCACCCGCCATTGCAATTCGATCCTTTGAGTGTGAATGCCATCAGGGGCAACAAATGGGTTATCACGATTGGAATGGTTCACCTTCTTGTGAATGTACCCATGTTCCCCCAAACAATCATACGCCCTCCAGAAGTCTGTATGGACTGTGGTGTCTTCAGCCACATGTTTTTTAATTAGGGGCATTAGTACGTCCGCTGACCTGATATTTTCGGGGCACACCTCTAGTCCCAAATCTTCACTTCCATCGTCAATGTGGCCGAGAATCCAGTGGTCCTCAATCCGCCTTCCTATAAACAACAAAACAATTTATAGTTAGTAAATATTCAAGATATTTTAGCTCTAAAAGTAAACTTTAAAAAAATTTATTGTTTCAGTCTGTAATATAATAAAAAAATTACCTTTATTATATTTCCGTTTTCCAAATTTTGACTCGTCTATTTGGACAACTTTTCCTGGGCCACCAATCTTGCTGATGACCTCTTGCCGCTCAATTTGGTAAATGACGACAGTCGTACCAATCGTAGACAGTCACCGTAGATAAACAGCCTCCCTCCATATCTTTTTCAGGGTCTTCATGGAGTGCATCTTCATAGCTCCAGCGATGTGCATAACAGTTCATCAGACAGAATACCCGTGGCAATGATATTTTAAAATTTTCAAACCAGGTGCCCTTGCCAAGAGCTACCCTGGATCGGGCTCTGCAATTTCCTTTATTGCACACAAAGGAGCCCACATTATTTTGCCCATATTTTACTTTTATTGGCACTCCTTAGTGGCAGGGATTAATCAATTTTTAAGGGCAAACTGCACACACTGCTTTCTGGCACCGAGTTCTCGCACGATTCGGGGTAAATTAAACATTTTTGCTTCTTCCACGTATAAACGCCTGCGCACGTAATCTCCATAAAGCTCCGTGAAGGGTACTGCATCCGTTGCGGCGGCGTCGCTTGAACTATTTGACGGAGTGGGGTCGTCAGCCATCTTGGGTCTTCCAAGTAGACAGGCATGTAGGGAAAATCCAAAAAAACGTGCAGGGGTCGTCGTAGGCCAAATCGGTGGTCCGGTATTCGAGCGCGGGTCTTCGTCAAGGCAAATCACAGATCCAAGAAACAAGCAGAGGTCGAAAGTAGAGCAGGCGGTAATCGAGCAAGGGTCAAGAGTTGGGAGCATAAAATGAGCGCAAAACAATCGGACAAAAAAATTCTGACTTGCTGAAGGCGAAATTGGAATGGTGACAAAAAAAATAGTGTCTTTTTTCATGTTGGGCTTATCATTAATCTGATGTTGGGCTTCATGTAATGCCGCCTCCATACGCTTGGTGCTTGCCACATACACCATACACGAACAAACAGCGACCACATTCACCCAACACAAACACGGCATCTACACGCTTGGCGAACGTGCTAGTATATTCCGGATAGGCAAACATGACGGACGACGAGCTTGTGGCAGCGATTACTTTCGGGTTGACCTATTTTTATTTAAAAATAAGGCAATATGAATTGCTCTCAAGGTTATTGTATTGAAGATTTTACACACCATAGAATCTCAAATGAATTCTCAATTATCACTGCTATAAATTGTCTTTAGGTTCAAATAAGTTTGGTTTAAACGCTTTTATTCGTATTGCATAACTGATTATTATGTAACACGTGACTAAATTAATCTCAAAATCGTTCGGGGGAATCGAATCCCAAACTTTCGTTCGTCATTATAATATTGAATCTATTTACTTTTAACATAGATTCTCTTTATTCGAAGCGCCTTATACAATTTAATAGCAATATTTTCAAAACGCACAATTGTTTATTTTTATGGAATGAAAATGATATACTATTTTTTTTAAGCTCTTCGCCAAAGCTAATAGTAGTAATGCATATGAGCCGTTTTCTTCATAAAATGTTTATTTTTAACAGCTTACAATAACATTACAAAGTTATTAATGCAGGTCTTTTCTATGAAAATGTAACGATATTTTTGCTAATCCAAGTGTATTTTATACGTTGGTCAACTATTACTCGTTAACTTCTTGATTCTACGTAGCTGTGATAGTTTTCCTTTTAACTGCATTATATAAACTACTATTTGGTATACTTTCCACAATTCGATAAAGATCTGTTAAGTTGGTAGAAGCGGGGGGGGGGGGGGGGGGGACATGACTCTAATGAAAAATAGCACTTTAAAACTAAATATTTCACAAACGAACCCCTGAATTGAAAAGATGTTGATAGAATATAGACACGTAAAAAAATCATTCTCTATTTACTTGTATGGGAAGTACCCAAAATAAAAATGTTCTTTAAGATTTTATTTCAGTTTTCTAGGCGTGATTAATATTTATAAATGTGCTAAATTACAGATATATAACTTCTTCGGATTTTATTTTGGGAATTGATGATCAATGATCCTGCTTTCACACGGGGCTCCTTATAAAAAGAGGTGAAATATTTGTTACCCAATAGAAACATTAATAAGGAGTCCATTACATTATTATTAGGTTTCTAGAAAACTTAAAAAATATAGGTGGTAGATCTACTAACTTTTCGAAGTAGAATTGGTAGGAAATTCAACTTCTGAAATCATATTTACCTTCGAGACAAATTTCGGATGGGTAACATTAGCGTAGACAAATTTCGGATGGGTAACATTGGCGTAGAGTATAATAATAATAGCCGCTAGTAACTCCTTCCGCCGCCCGAAAGCCGTAAGCTCGCGCGTACTACTGACTGATCGCCAAACGTGTGGATACATCGCAAACACGTTTGTCGAACACCCTTTGATCGGTGCATAAAAACCGACACCAACGCCGATCACTGGCAATCACATACAAACAAACAAACAAACAGGTGAACAACCATCCACACGTTCGTGATTGCTGGTTGGTGTATGCTGTTTGCCAAGCGTGTGGATGAGGCTTAACACAACCGTGGTTGAACATCGTATGTTAGAGTAGGATAGCACTACAAACATCATACAAACCATACTATTGTTATCTCTTTCTAATAATTATATAGTTGTTGCGTGTTATTATTTAATGGCGGCTCTTTACGTTGGCCAACATAGTGGCGAATGTGTTGGCAGAGATATTGGCCAAGAATTTGTGATCGCGTCCACACGTTGGAAGGTCGTTCAGTTTGCTTCGATTCATGCCAATGTGCGGACGAATTTATTAAAATGATTATTGAAGCGCTAACGGCTGTTGCGGTTTATTTATTCACAGCATACCACTATTTTTTATTTAATTTTTACTATTTTTAATATTTAATATTTTGATATAAATTTTTAATATTTCTTTATTATACACTAGCGTTATACAGATAAGTAAACTATATAAACATTAACACACCTAGGCATAGGTATAATTAACTAAGGCCTGGAAAATATTCGAAGCCTGTCTATGAAACTGTTGTAATTTTTTTATTAAACAAAACCTTTTTAAAAAGG